CTTACATTCTTTTCTTATTCATGTAATAACTTACTTTTGGTTGGACATATACTACATACCAGTCACTATATTAAGCATAAAAGAAATAAGTAAGAAAAAGTCATAATTTCTAATATAAAAGGATAATCCTAGATATCAGTGACACTAACAGGAAAGGAAAAATTTCATTTAAATGTCAGGAAAATCTTCTTCCTTGAGATTAAAAGAAAAATCTAGACATGAAATCAGCTTTCACCACTTTCCATGGCAGATTTTTTAGCCTCCCTGAGTCCATTTTTTTTTATTTTGGTGAAATATTCAAAAAGTAATAATAATATTATTATACTATTCCAATAATATTCCAAAGAATTATTTCAATATTATATGTGTAAAAATGAGTATACTCATGGCTTAATAAAGGCTACTTTCCCTTTGTTTTCTCAAATCTCTTCACTGAACACAAAATTAACCAAGCACATTCATTGCTGGCAAAGAAACATTCAGTCTCTAAATGATAAATATCTACTGGAAAACTGATGTCCAGGAAGAAGGACATTAACCAAGAAGCTGCTTCTTTAATTCACCTTCATCATCTTTTGTCTCTATTGAAGAAAGCAAAAAAAAAAAAAAAAAAAACAAAACAAAAAAAACAACAACAAACTATAAGGCATCCATGTGCGATCTGTGAATCCCTGCAAGAAACCCTTAGATTCTATTGTTCACAACATCCACTGAAAATATTTGTACAACAAAAGGAACGAGTAGGATGGTATTGCTAAAAGTCTCTCTGAACACACATGGAGTTACCTTTGACAAAGAGCACCAGGAGATCCTAACTTTAAGCTTTGTGTCCAATTTCTGGGAAGCAGACATTGTTTTCCTGTGGATGGTTTGTCATCTAAACAATTTCTAAACTTCTTAATCTCTCAAGTTCATCTGAATGCTCTAACAGTGCTTTAATAAAATGGCTCAATGTCATGGAAAAAATGATATTCAGACTTGATGAAAACAAAGTTCTCAGCTGATTTGAGAGCTGCCTCCAGAGGATTTAAGAGTCCAGTAGCACTGAATCCAAGCTGTCTTAACACAGCGGTAGGCATCTGGGAGGATATATTTGTTTCTTGTAGCTGCTGAAACAAATTGCCACAAATTTAGTGGCTGAAAAGAATATGAGGTTATTACCTTACAATTGGGGGTTCAGAAGTTTGTAATAGGTGTGCAGGGGTACAGTCCTTCTAGAGGATATGAGGGACTTTCCTTGCTTTTCCCAGACCTGTAGAGGATCCTGCACTCCTCTGGTCCATGCCCCTTTCTGCCATCTGTCCCTAGCAGTACTTAAGTTTCTCTTCTCTCTGATCTTCTGTCTCCTTCTTGTAAGGACTCCTATGATTGCATGGGCCAACATGGACAATCCAGAGTGAATCTCCACATCTCAATATTTTTAACTTATTCGTGCCTACAAAATATCACTTGCCACATAAGTCTCTTTTGCCTGTATTTAAACATTCCAAGGATTAAAATATAGACATTTTAAGGTTCCTTTTCTTTTTTCAGCTTAATGCAGAGAGTAGGGTTTTTAAAATTTCTTTATTTTTTGTTTGACAAGACCTCTCTGTGTTGTCCAGGTTGGCCTCATATCCCCAGGCTTCCATGATCCTTCTACTTCGGCCTGCTGAGTATCTGGGATTATATACATATACCTCTGTGCCTAGGTCTCTTATTTTTAAAATGGAAATTATGATAACTCCTACTGCATAGATTTATAATGAGGATTAAATTAATCACATACATTGTCATTTAACGCTACTATAAAATCTCTATATTAAGTCATCTAGGAGTTCTGGACACATTCATGAGAGGGGTAGATACGATCCCTGCTCAGAGATAGACTTTAGATGAACAATCACCAAACTTTAAACATATGTTTGCAAACTCCAGTTACTAATTAAAATTAGTATCACTAAAGAAATGAAATGGGTAAGTTGGCAGAGCTCAGAAGGTCTATCTGAGCAAGTGTCTTTATTCAGCATTTTATGAATGACTAGGAATTACTTAGCTGAGATTAAAATGTAGAGAACATTTCTGAAAAAGGAAAAAAAATACATGCAAAGCCCTGTGACAGGAATGAGTGTGGTGGTATATCAAAGAAATTGAAGGTATTGGGCGAGTAGTGGCAAAATCTGAGGCTTCGGAAGTAGTCAGAGATCCCAGAAAGTCACATTTATGCCATGTTTAAAATTGAGGGCTAATCCTCATTGAGGACAAGAATGGTTTAATCCAATTACTTATTAGAAAATATTGCTCTGGGTACTGTGTAGAGGATGTGAGGCAAGAGCAGAAGCAGAGTGCCAGGAAAGAGATTTGGTCTTAGATCAGGTGAGAGAGAACACAGTCACAGGCTGGGCTCTGGAGGAAGAAAACCCTGAGGAGGTCAACAGGCAGGTGACTTATTATGAAGCACTGTAGGATCCATGGCTGCAGAGTCGAAGAAACGGGAGAGGACAGGCAATATTAAAGATGCTCTGAAGTATGGATGATCCCCAGGGTTAGGACACCTGAAGGGGGTGGGGTTTGACCTTCCATCATCAGTCACTGGACACAGCTGCTGTGGGAAGGGAGAAAGGAGCACCCTTAGTCAATGTGACAGTTCCCAAAGGTGCTGATGGCTGAGCTTCTGAAAGAGAGTTTTGGGTTGTGCATTATCGCATTCACCATGAGGCAGCTTGACTTTAATAGCGGCAGTGAAAATGGAGAGAAAGTGAATGACTTTGAGAAATATTTTGGAGAGAGAATTGGAAGTACTTGGTGATGGATTATGTGTAGGGGCAGAAGAAGAGGAGACGTCAAGGATGAAAACTAGATTTCTGCATTTTATAGGGAAATAGAAATTTTATCATGTTCTCTCTAGTTGTATTGATGAGTTAATAAATAAATGAGTCTGTACTTCAGAGGTCTGATCTGAGCTGGAATCAAAATGTGGGAGTACGAAATGAATAGATGATAATAAAAACCATGAGCCCACATAAAAATCACTTTATGAAGGAGTATGGCATGACAGGTTGATGAAGCCTTGAGCAATTAAGATGAGTTATGTAAATTCCTTGTCATCATGCATGGTACATAGTAAAAACTCAGTAAATCCTCGTTGCCATAGTAATAATCATAAAAACAAGGTTTTTTTTTTATTAGCCAGAGAAATGGACTGTCACAAAGATGTGTCATGCATGTCAGGAAATCCACAATCTAAGAAGTCAAAACATAGGTTCTTACAAGGAGAAACTGGAACACACATTAGCTGTTGTGGTTGGTGAGCTGAACAGCAGGTCATGGAGAATAGTCCTTCAAGCAAGCATCTGTGGAAGATATCATCCATTCTAACATTTTTTTTTTGCTTGAATTAATTTGAAAGTCTCTTAATTAGTCTTCTTGTTCCTCCTTCTCTGCTTTCCTCCCTACATGTTATTCTTTACTGATAAGTGGCAGGTATCTTATAAAATTATAAGGAAAATCAGGCCATCTCTCTGCTGCAAATTTCCCAGTGGCTAACTACCTTGCAGAGAGTAAAAGTTAAATCCAGGACCAAAGCCTATGAGGTCTCCTGCAGTCTGACTTTGCATTTTTTCTAGTGGCTTTTCCTCCTGACCTCATCTCCTTTCTCACTTCCTGGTTCTCTCTGCACTGACCACACTGGTCTCTGGCTATTCTTCGTACACTCCAGACATACTCTTGTCTTCAGGCCTCTCTGTACTAGTCATTTCCTTTCCTTAAAACACCCTTCCTTCAGATGTCTCTCCAGTACACCCACCTTTAGGTCTTTGCATAGTAACAGATTAAAAGAAGTTACCCCTGTCTGTCCTGTGAAAGTCTCCACCTTCCCTTCCATTCTTACACAACTCTGTTTCATTTTTATTCACAGTATTCATTATTTCCTCATGTGGACATTACATCTGCACATTCTTCCACTATCTATCTCCTGCTAGAATGTAAACTTTATTAAAGGAACATAAGAATTCTTTTCCATTGCTTTCCTTTGTTTGTTTGGTTTATTTTCTTATTATATTTCCAATGCCTAGAAAAGTTCAGACTAATAATACCCTTTAAGAAATATGAATTGAACAAATGCTTGGGTGAAGCAAACAGTGAATGAATGAATAAATACAAAGAGTCCCTAACTCAATTTTCTAGTGAAGTGACTTCACACCATTTTCTACCTTTATGCATTTTCCAGATCTAAGTTGACTAGATAACAAGAAAACATAGACTTGTCCTGCTCTTTTGGAGGGCTAGAAAGTACATCAGGCATCAGGTCTCTGTGGTCCTTTGTTACTAACATTTAGTGTATGATAGCTTCACACATCTGTGGGGACACTGGCTGTTTGAATTTGTGGATGACAGGAATGATAAATTTAAATTCTTTCAAAAAACTCTCTGGGTGATTCTTACAAAAGTAAACTCACTTCTATTGGGCATTCTGTATACAAAGCACCCAACTCAATTTTCTTCCCCACTTTTTCAATTGCTCATGTTGTCCATACATGCACAAACTTAAGGAGATACTACTATTGTTGTTGTTAATTTGCAATTTTATTCAGTGATTACAGATGAGCACTTGTACTCAGTCTTTGAAAAGTAATGGTTTCAGGCTGAACTGTGTCAGCACTGTGTAGGTAAAATTCAACTCTATAATCAGACATTCTCCAAACTGTTTCCTTGATTGTTCAAACTTTCTCTCAATAGCTCTGGTATCGCCCTCAAGGGGAAGTCCAAAGGGCATAAATGTGGGCTGCCGAATGTTTGCAGTGCTCTGTAATAACTTTCTTTGGTAATTAAAACTTTCCCGGGTTTGGCAGGACTCCTTGTTTGTTGTTTGAGAAGATTTATAGAGTCTAAGCTATTTCATTATGTCTCATATTTACACTTCACTGATTTCAACTTTTTTTTTTTTTTTTGGTAAAGAAGGGCTCATGTTTGTATCATGCAGTTGCCACATACGATGTGAAATCTCCACAGCCCTGCCCCTGGTCACTGAACGCAGCTTTCAGAAGCATTTTACACAAGAACAGGATATTGGCAACTCAACTGTTAAATCTGTCTGTGATCATTCTTCCTTGAGATCACTCTGATGTCACCAGTGTAATTTGAGCCGGGAGCTTTTGTTCACACTTTAAATAGTAGTCCCGGAATGATTTTGCTACAGACTCTCTGGAGAGCCCCGGGAGCTGAATTCCAGAAGATCCCCATATCGATGAAAGCAAAGCGAAGCCACCAAGCCATCACCATGTCCACGTCGCTTCGAGTAAGCCCATCCATCCACGGCTACCACTTTGACACAGCTTCTCGCAAGAAAGCTGTGGGCAATATCTTTGAAAACATAGATCAAGAATCACTCCAGAGGCTCTTCAAAAACTCTGGAGACAAGAAAGCAGAGGAGAGAGCCAAGATCATATTTGCATTAGATCAAGATTTGGAGGAGAAAACCCGAGCCCTGATGGCCCTGAAGAAGAGGACGAAAGATAAGCTTTTACAGTTTCTGAAACTGCGGAAATATTCCATCAAAGTTCACTGAGGACAAGCAAATGGATAAGGACGTTATCCACGAATGAACATTTAAAGACCCAGTGAGTTTGTGGGACTCTAACAGAGGCAGCATTTTGTGGCTGTGTTGCAAGCTTCTCTCGAGTCAGGACTCCGAGCCTGAGAAGGGACAGAGCAAACTGGTGGCCAAGACCCCAACCATTTCCACACCCTGTGCTGTGCGATGACAGTGGAGAACAAAATGCTTTCAGCAAGAATTTGAAAACTCTCCCTGCAGGAAAGGACAGATGCTGGTAGAAGAGAATGGACAGATGCAGTGCCAACAGATGGCCCAGGAAGACAGACGGACATCCAGGGCTACATTGTCAGGTCCTGGGACTTAAATCCAAACTGAACTGTGTTCATCTATTTTTCTCCCCAATTGAACTGGGCAGGGAGAGAGGAGGGTGAGAGAGAATGGAGAAAAATACCAAGCATCAATTGTTTACTGAATTCTTTTTGTCAGAATGTTTGAAATGTTGTCAAGTCTCAATATTGTCTATTGGTAGAGATTTTTAGAGATCTAAAATTATTTATTTGCATTTATGACAATGCCTGAAAAAGTGCACCACCTGGGTGTTAAGTACAAATGGAAGGAACTTTCTCAGCTCAGTGAAACCTACGCCACCTTCTGGTTTGTTTGTAAAGGGATTTTATACATTTCAAACAGGTTGCACAGAAGTTATTAAAATAATGGGGTTCTTCATAAATCTGAAGTACTGTGAAAAAAATTTTATAATGTTTTTTAATCTTCTGACTAATGCTAAAATATAATCTAATTAAATTACTTATAGTTACCGCAATAAGCATTAGGAAGTGAATATGATATACTAAATAGTTTATAAAGATGCTATGGTTTCTATAATTTATTATACATGCCAAGTGATATGCAACCCTAATAAATTATTATAAACTTAGCTGCTCTTGGTCTGTGATGATTGGTCTCAAAGGAATAAAATAAGAGGGTAAATTTTGATTTTTATAAACTCTTCTAAATATTTGACCTTAAAAATAAATAAAAGGTGTTTTGAGAGTGAATTTACACCAATTGCCAAACTTTAAACATTTTTTTACACCCAAAATTGGGGAGTTTTTTTTGTCCCAACTTTAAAACATAAGATATAAATATAGAAATTCATAGATTGACTTATCAATATGGTATTCATGTATCTATTCAGAGTGAATTTTAACTGGCTTTGTCTTCATATATTTGAATTTTATCCTCTGTGATTAGAGTAGATATGTACAGGTGACATTTACTTCTCCCTAAGCAATATATTTTAGGGTTAGAGTCTGAATTGTAATTAAGATTCACTGTTTAATATAAGCCAATATGGGAATGGCATTACCATCTCTTTAATTATTTCCTTATAATATTATAATAAATACACATAAGAAGGCATACATCAATGCTCTTTCCTAACAGACAGAAATAAAAGTTTCCCAGAAAGTGAGCATTGCAGAAATACTTACAAAATTGATTTTTTATGCCAATTATAGTAAATAAAACAAGTCTAAATCTTTTGGAAAGGTTACAAGTCAGGATTTCTAATACTAAATTTTTTTAAAGAAAAATCACATGATTAAAAAGTCAGTCTTTTCAACTACAAATTGACTGATCTACTGAAGATAATGAAATAATTACTGCATTATAAGGGAGCTCTTTCCAAGAAAGAATCAATATGCAAAGGTGTGTGTGTGTGTGTGTGTGTGTGTGTGTGTGTGTGTGTGTATGTGTGCGAGCACGCACGCGCACTTGATGGCTTTTTTCATCATATTTTCAATGACAACCCTGAGACCAAAAAAAGAAAAGAAAGTTAAAAGTTAAGAAAGAGGAAGGGCATTGCCAAGGGTGGCTTAGCTACTGGTGCTGTCAGGGGATTATGAAAGTGAAGATTGTTAAGAGGGCCCTGCTCCATCACTCCATCTCCCCAGCCTTTCCAACTGAGCTAGCTTAATGTTCTCTGCATGTGCTGGAAATAAGCTTCCTACCCCTTGCAGGTCCCCTCTGGGGAAAAATGTAAAGTTACTTTCTATTCAAAGATTGAAGCCCACATTAGCTGTTGAAGGCAGTTCAAGTGCAATATTTATTATATATACCCATAACCACATACTCTATCATTGTTGTTTTCTTTTTCATTTGCATGTATTAAGTTGTTTTATTTCAGTATATTATCATGATTTTCTGATTTCTAATCCAAACCAAGGGCAACAAATTAAAAAAAAAAAGGTAGGGTAGAATGCACAATGGTGTGGAGAATAAGAACTCTTCTGGTAGATTATTTCCTCTTCATGGAGAACAAAGGGAGGAATCAATGAGATTGCACAGGCATATTTTTGGCTCCATAAAACATTTATTATGTAATCTCAGGTGAATAAGCATTATTAGACCAGGGAGGACTAGTTCAGTTCAGAATTCCATCTGTGGCCCAGAGATGGCCACATAGATTTCAAGACGTATTATTTTAATAGAAAAAATAAAAGCAGTAAAGATTAAACAGCTTATTAACAGTATTTATCTTATTGGTATCATTGAGCAGGTATTATTGACCAGTTTTCTAAGATTTTTTTTGTATTAAATCACTAAGTTCTATAACATAAAAGGGAAGAGCAAGTGTGTGTATGCATGAGCATTTACACATATATAGGCATATATATAGTAATAAACCTGAAGCACAGAGAGATGAAGAAATTTGGCCAAAGTCACACAGCTCATAAATCCAAGATTCAAATCCAGAAAGATTGGCTTTCATTTCTAGACACTAGGTTTGACTGCCTCACTAGAGAAATGAAGCTTCTCTTTTTCCTTTAAAGTGATAATGTCTTATATGCTATTCAGCCATCAACATGGGAAGTCGTGGCCTCTGAAAAATCACTGTGATCACACGTGTCCATTTGTCTGTTTAGTTAGCACTTGTACTGCATGGGGAAAGTGTCTTGGTTTAATACTTTTAATTGCACCAAGCATTTCTTAGATGGAGCCTTTGAAGCCCGCAGTTAAAATAACACTGTATTGGCACCTTGGTGTAAAAGGCCACACGCCTAGGGTCTCTTCCACTCAGCTAAGGCATTGGGTCTTGTTTGCTGTTTAGGGAAGTCAGGGACCACAGATTCATTATTCCATTTGCTCAGTCCATCACCTGGCCCACAGCAAAGGAGGATTTGCCTTGTAGTTCGGATTTACTGAGAAAGGGGTCCAGGTTATGCGTCTGACTATATTTTTCTCATTGTCTAGGAGTTATCACAGGATGCAATTGATGTTCCCTTGGGAAGTCTTATCTGTTAATAGAAAATGATTAAGCCATGGTCTGGGGACTGTCTGTCCTTTCAGAGCATATCCTCTGCCCTTGTGGACTGCAGAGAAGGGCCTCCCAGCCTGGCATGCTATTTAATTAACCCCTTTCCCACACAGTGGAAATCAGAGATCACAAATAGGGAAAGCATTTGAATTTTATGCATTCATGCAACATTTTCCTTCTCAGAGGAGTCAGAAAACGCTTTAAAAATGAACACCATACAGTGAGATTGGGGTTGGTTCAAACTTGATGCCATGGAAGAGAGTGTAGGAATTTGTGTGTATGTCTCTGTGTGTGAATGTGTGTGTGTGTATGTCTATATGTGTCTGTGTAGATGGCTATGTGTATATCTGTATGTATATGTGTGTCTGTGATTTTGTGTCTGTGTGAATGTGTGTGTGTATAAATGTGGCTGCATGTATCTGTGCATGTCTATATGATTGTATGTCTGTGTGAATGTGTGGGCTTGCCTGTGTGATCGTGTGAGTATCTGCATGTGTGTGTGTATGAAAGGCTATATGAGTGTGTATGTGTATGAATGGCTAAATGAGTGTGTATGTGTGAATATGCATGTGTGTGTGTGTGTGTGTGTGTTTGTGTGTGTGTTAGCAGAAGAATGAAAGGAAATCTAACCCAGTCTGAGGAGACACTGGAAGATTCCACGGAGATCTTCCCCATTTCAAAATACGAGAGCAAAGGGGAAAATTTTTATTCCAGCTGAGCTTAAGCAATTCTGGGTGATAATTAGAAAAAAACAACAGGGCCTTAAATGACGAACTTTAGTATTAGTTTTATTCTGAAGGTAACAGAAACATTTATTGCCTAAGTATTATGTATTATGCCATAGAAAATGTATGATTAATATTTTGAAGAATAATATACTGCGAAGCAGCTGAACTCATGGTCAGAGTCTATAGTGATTATTCCATAACTCTGTGGCCTTAGCTTTGGTCTACTGAAGTGAAAATTCATCCAGGACCTTTGCAATTCACTAGCAGTGAATTTAGCTGCATAGCTAAATTCATCTGAAGATGAAACAAAAGAGATTACAAAGACAAGTGTTGTGAGGTCAGACTGGGAAAACATCTCCTGCCTACTTAAATTTTGAAGGAATTGTGAATATGCTTAAACCTTGTGATAGGCCTTCATATTTAACAAGTATTATGACGAAATGACTACTAAGCTCTCTCTTCACTTGGATAAGCCTTCTGCAAACAGTTTCTAGACATTTGGAGAGATTATCGCAGGTACATACCAACGTGTTCTATTTTAATACACACTGACATCGGAGATGGGCTGGCTAAGTGTTGGCAAAACTGTCTTACAGCATTTTGGAAATAAGCATCTTCTTCCTATGAAGTTTGGCAGAGATTTAAAAAAA